ACCTTTAAAAAGCTTTATGCACAAATGGAACGGTTAGATATTATCTGTTAAAGAAATGACAAGAAATTGCAAAAGATTCATAACAAGATAAGTACAAATATAATTAAGGTACAGGGAAAGTGTACAAATGTCAGTTCGCTGTTATATTACTGCTTGTAAAGAAGATAATAATTGCAACATATAGTTTAGATTTCACATACAAAGACACAATTTCGAGATATACAGTCGACAGTAAGCAACACTTCATGTCTTGTGTACGGAAGTGAGCGTAATTATAAATGTAGCTATCGCTCGCGACTCCGATCGCGTGGGATAAAAAATAGTAGCCTATGTGTCCTTCCAATTGGGAACCAATCAACATTCTGACAATTGTTGGTGATTGTTCCTTGTAAAATCGTTTTGTCCGTGTTTCTCTGTTAGTAATACTTTTCCCTTTCATTGTGTCATTGCGGAATTTGAACAGCTCGTGTGAAAGAAACCACGATAAGTAAAATTACATTTTACCGATACCATCACCATTGTGAACCTCTCGCGGCAATAACAGCTTGTTTCTTGATGCTGTTAGGTTTTTCGCTTGTGAACTTTGTTTTTACGTGTTGCGTAGTATTAATATTTAAAGCAGCTGTATACGGACAGTTAAATCAGTCGGCCTGCTGGAATGTCTCTGCTTAAAAGTTGCCAGCGACACACGTGACGAATGCTCTAAGCAGCCTTTACTTGTAGCTGGTATGAACATACTATTATTAAGTAATAAATTTTTTTTTCTATAAAAATATTACTAGATTTTTGTAAATTTACTAATATTTCTTGTATCATTCCAACTAAGCTAAAGGCTTGTGCTAGGATATGGTTTACAATAAAAGTCGAATGGCGGAATTCGAACCCCCGACCTCGTGATCGGGAATCCGCACCTTTAACCATTAAGCTATTGGCTTTAAAAAGATAATGTAAATGTGATTTAAATTGTAAAGCATTTATCTTTTTGTTGCCTTTAGTAACGTTTTAGTAAAAAGAGTTCAATGTAATACATTTGTATTCAATCAATCACTTAGAAAGCCTTTTCGCTAGTGTTTAAATGAAAGCTGTTTTCTTTAGACTAACATAAATGTAACCTAAGCAGTATTCTCAAAGTACTAACCATAAATAGACGAAATGTTTGTTTATGAAAATTTCCATGTCGATTAATTATTTTATAATATAGTACAGTGTTTACTAAAATAAAAGAGGATAAGTAATAAGGGAACGTACCCTGCTACGTGACCCGTTTAGGGGGGCGGGAGTCCTTAAAATACTACAGTCAGTCACATGAGCGGGGGGATGGCTCAGGTTTTTGTCACGTAGTCGTTAGTTGTTATTTTTCATAATACATAATTCACTATTAATTTAAGGATCGAAAAAAGTAAAAAAAATAGGTCACTTAGTATGGGTATGTTCCCTAAGATATGGAATCATCATCAGCTCACTACAAGTCCCCAGTGAGAGGCTCATGGCCTATCTAAGGAGTAAATAGGTTATAATCAACACTGGTCCAGCGCGGGTTGGTTATCTCCACACATATGTTTGAATTTTTTTGCAGATATGTGCAGGTTGCATCACAATGTTTTCTTATACCGTAAGCAAGTCGGATAAATGTACATATGTAAATCGAAAATCAAAAAAAGACATTGGTACATGGCGGGATTAGAACTCAGGACCTGCAGATTACAAGTCAAATTTAACTATAGAGCCACTGACATTCTATAAAGTAAATGAAACTATGAAATAAATTTGGAAGAACTTTAATCGTCGTTATGATTCCATCGAAACAAACACATTTTCTACATATATAGATGATAAATACTGGTGAGTTATTCAAAACAACCATTTACTAAATCTAACATATATTGATAATCTTATCATTACCACAAAAACATTCTCTAAATGATGGGAAATGCGAAAAAGTTTCTAAATGTTCTTACACGATTTAATTCCTTTTTTAAATTTATTGATTTGAAATTATATGAATTTCTTAACATCTACATGTTTACGTAAACACAAGTTTTTTTTTTTGTTTAATTTGTTCCCTTTTCAGTCGAGTTTAAAATAAATGAAATAAAGTCAATGGTTTTAGCTAACCTTTCGTGAGTTACCACTGCTAAAAACACGCAATACATATAATCATCTCTTTTATTTGCTTTGAGATAAACTGAGACACTGATATTTTTGTGCAGATGTTTTAACAGTGGAAAGACGCTATTAATCGAAAAAAAAACGACTACAAATTCTAGTTCTAGGTTTTTTATTAATTCTTATAAGTTATATAACGTCTTGACGTAATGTTTTTAAAATATCATGGCGTTTACAATATGCAGTTTTTCTTCGCATTTCCCACCGTAACTACTGACTTATTTAAATATATTCAAAATTCCTTATATTCACATTGACTGGGCCTAAATACAAATTTCAACTACTCAATGTATGTACAGTTTAGACCAATTCTATATCTAAAGACAATATAACAGAAGATTTGTAGACTATTATATATTTTCTTTTTTTTATTTAGTAAGTTAAATCCTATTTTTTAGCAAAACATACTGACATAGCTGTTAAATATCTATTTAATTAAGTTCCGGCTAAAATAAATATATTGAATTTTCTTCATTCAGTCGAAATCGAAGTCATCATCATCAGCTCACTATACGTCCTCACCGAGGGTCTCGGAGCCTACCCTAATTTAAGGGTGATAAAGCCATAGTCAACCACGCACTTGGCCAGCGTCGCTGCTGGCGAAGTGCGAAATCGAAGTATGTTAAATAAATTAATAAAAATAACAAAGACTAGATGAATTATCACAAACAAAATATAGCCACCGAAATTAATTTTAAGTTAGTGATTAAGTAGAATTAAGTTACATTAAAGATCAAATTGTACTATTATCAGATTAAGATGTATCAAAATGGTTTAACTTTTGAGTTTTCAGTAACAGCTAAGTGGGAACACTCAAAAATAAGTGTTTTTTAACCTAACAAATATAGACACTTACAAAAACTAGACAATCACATTTCTAAACATTTATTTCTCTAAAAACTATATTATCTATGATTTATCATACAGATTAAATATGAGAAACTAGAGAAACAATTTGTTCTACATTTATTGTTAAACATCAATGACACATAACCTCAAAACTTTGGATAGCGAAAACATAATCGCTTTTTGTTTAAGTATTTGTCAACGAAATACGTTAGTTTACAATGTAGCCAATGATTTTACAAACTGTCGAAGTCCATAAGCCGTAATCAACTGTAAAAAATTGTTGTTATTTTTTACATTATGCTTGTAATAGTATTTTTATTACTTCAGGAAGCGAAAGAGCAATATTTATTCTATACTTAGTTATTTACGTATTATATAGAAATCCAAAAACTTTAACATAATTATTTATGTAATTTTATTTAATTTATTCAAAGATCTTTTAAAACGAAGTTTGCATGAAACTAAACACAAATCCTACGTCGATTCAATGTGTATCATTTCTAATTTATATTATACATATAAATGATATGAAAATCCAAATACGTATACCCTTGTACAACAAATCAGTCATGAAGATTAACTTTGATATTATATTTTCGAAATAATTTATTAATTTAGTAATGTTTACAAAATTAAACTGAAAATAATGTTTAAATACGAATCCGAAGATTCTTAAGTTCTTTTCATATTTGTTTGTAGTTTTTAAATTGAATTTATTCTTATGTATAAATCAATATTCGTTTATTTATGTATTCAATTTATTAAAGAAAGTCGATATGCTTTTCTCTCTCAATGCCACTAGAATTATAATATTGTTTTATATACGAATATCCATTTTACCGTTCAACATTCGATGTGATTTGGAAAACATCTCTTTTAACACATAAATAGTGTTTTTAATTTAAATTCAGTCTCGATTTGGCACTCGCGTATTTGAATACTGTTAGGGGTTCATATTAAATTATGACAAAGGCTACGCTTTTAAGCCAGGAAACTAAACATTTTATTTTAATTATCTTTCGAATATTCATAGGAGACGAACATAACATGGGCATACATGTTGCGTAACACATTTTACGATACAAACATGTTGGCTAACAAATCTATTAAGCGTTGAATTTTTTACATTTCAATAATTATAATTTCAAAATGACCATATAAACTTATATGAAAATGGCTAAACAGTCACTTATATTTGTCCGGTGGCGGCACCGACTAGTTCGAGCCCATCGGGGCCATTCATCAGGGTGATTGGGACTGGTATTATTTCTCGGACGCGGCCCGACGGTCACTTGTGAGCGATGGGCCGTTTTTTATATATATTTACTAGCTGTCACCCGCGACATCGTCCGCGTGGAATTAAAAGAAAACTATTGGTAGCAGCGTAATTTTTATAGCCTAAAGCCTTCCTCTATAAATGGACTATCCAACAAAAAACAGAATTTTTTAAATCGAACCAGTAGTTCCTGAGATTAACGCGTTTAAACAAACTCTACCGCTTTATAATATTTGTATAGGTTATAATGTCTCACGAAAGTTTGAATAATTTAATTACCTTATTCTTTTAAACTGAAGATTTGAATGTACTAGATCAAAACTAGATATTATATTTAGGTCGCTACAAACACTGGAAGTTTCAAAATGTATTAGTTGCACAATACAAATGTATAATCTTTGCATCTCAGTAACTGGAGCAAAACAGACATTCACGAATGGTCAAACATAATTGTTGAGAAGAAACGCAAGATATACTCGTACTTAGAAAATACATCAAACGCCATTTGCAATCGTTACATCTTTATTGTTATATTTCAAAAGTTTAATCAAATTTTATATAGTTTTTTAAATTTTAATTTAAGCTTGTAATTTTATTTAACGCAACGATTTCTTGATTCATATAAATCAATTTAGTTTGTATTGACACAATTTTTAACTGTTTTTATTACATTTAAAAATGTTTCTGCATTTTTTTTAATGAACTTTGGCATTTTTTTATGTTCGACATTTAATTCAGATGCAAAAGAGAATTAATATTATTATATTCAATGTTCTAACTATAGAAAGGGTCCCAAATCGTGTATCTAAGTGATTAAGAACGAAGTCTACAGATGTACCGGTAAATTCTGTCTTTTTACAAACTAAAACACATTCTTGTTATGCTGGACGACATAACTTTCCGGTAGACGTAATGTTAAAGCGCTTTACCACGGTACGTGATTCTACGAACAGATTAAACGATTCATATTGAACATAGTATCATCTGTGATATAGGAGACAAATCTGTAGGAAGAGCTGTAGAACGGTACAGCACTGCCATTGTGAGAACGTATAGGCAATATCAGTAACACAGTACTGTCACACTGTTCTATCCACTTGAAACTACCATTAGTCGAAATTGTCGGGAGTCGGTTTTGAGTCATTGAATTAATATATAGTGTGACGCTATCGCAGAATCAAGTGCCGTGTAAACCTGACTTTAGTTGGACCAAGAGATAGGTTATATTATTTGTGTGCGGGTCCGGTGCCGGGTCCGGAGGCACAGGCGGTACGGGCTCAGGTGTGCGGTCACGCGCGGCCCAGCATGGCAGCCACGTCGCCAGCTGATTGCGAGTGCAGGAGTGCTGCGCGGGCCGGTCGCGGCGGAGCTAGCCGTGGCAGCGCTAGTACGCCTGTTGTTGACGTACCCAGCGCGCACCCAGTCACGAATTCATGACGAGTCGCCTCAGTAGGCGTGATGCGTCGCTTTGGATCCCATCTGTAAAGATAATATCAATATTGTAATTTCTATTTTGTTGAAGAGAATGAACGCGACGACTGATAAGTGTAGCGACTGGGAAGATAAAATTAGTACGATTAAAATAGCATTATGTTTCTAATTTATTTATCTGTCTATCTCTAGTACAGGTTCAGAACGGGTCTTTTGGAATTTGAAATGTTGTAATCCCGGCCCAAACCAAGTCGCATATTTGCGTTCTAACGTAATGACTAGATTCGGATTAATAAAAATTATTAGTGCAATACGAAAGTTGTTCTATTTTAACCTAACCTAAGCCGATTTGTGAAACAACAAATTCAACTAAATCGAAATAACTTGCAAATGATATGAAGATGTATAAACAATAGAGGCGTCTAATAAAACTTACATAACGTGGTGTAATTAGAACACCGATACATCTAAGATGTTACTGCTTCTATAAGTTTGATAAATATATATTACGTGTATACTCTGTGTCACAATTGTTAGCCATTTTATATATTCTGTAATTCCTTAACCTAAAACGTTATTTAGTCTATGCTATAAGTCAATAACACTTTTGTTTATTTAATATAACAACATTAATCATTTGTATTACGATCCAAAAGATTATTTAAATATTTGATTCTCAAATATAAAATAGAAGTATTCAACTTATCATCTTATTATCTGGCTGTATTTCGTTATCGTAAATTAAAAGTATTGTAATTGCTCGTCTGAATGACGGCCATGTTTTTTCTGACATTCGGGTAATGGAAAAGACAATGTAACAGCGGTGTTTTTGAAAAAGTTGTTCTTTACAATTCCAAAAGAAATATATGAGTTAAAGACTATGTTTTATTTGAAAAAGTATTCTCCGGCTGTGACTCCCACACAATGCAACATTTTTATCAAACTAAAGATATTTTCATAACCCAAATATTAAAAGATTCACCGTGGGTTTCCAAAACCAAAATATCCGTTTAAAATGTATCGTCATCGTAATTTGACAGAACAGAAATAACAATATATTTAAAACGAATATTTGAACTGACGGAGGCAATAAAAACCCATATGAAAACGTCGAAATAATATTTAATTAACTTAGTAAACGCGCAAATAATCAAAGATATAAACAGTAAAGAATAGAAGGAATTTGTAGCATTGTAATTACAATTATTTAACACAGTTTAACAATATCAATAACAACTGCTAAGATTTTTATCAATCAATCAAAATCGATATATTTGTTAGAAGGTTACACTTCTAACACTGGTCTGTAACTGGCAGTTACGATTTGCAACAATTATATTGTTGTCTCTCTTTTTTCAAGCAGAATGTAAGAGATACCAATACTTAACACAAGTTTCACTGCAGTGGAAACCCAGTTATATTTACAAGGTATAAGAATTGCCGACAAATACAACATAATCTCATATATTACTTAACCTATATACTTTTTGCAATCTGTCACATAAGCCACGTTATATATTGAATCCGTAAATAGATGTAATGTTAAACCGGCCAGTTACAGACCTCGGAAGTTACAGAGTGGACATTTCTGATGCATGTTAAAGGTACCATACTGCAAGTGGAATCGGTCGAGTTAGCCTAATGTGTCTTGATTATGTAATAAGGAAGTCGTTAATTGGTACGCTAAGGGCTTCCTTAAGTTAGTCCACGAATAGTTAATAATTCATGGAAAACAAAAGGCAACCGATTTAACTCTTTTAAGTATCACTAGCTATAGCTTGCGAGGCCGCTCGTGCGAATTAAAAAAAAACTGAATTAGTAACCTATGTGCTCTTCCAGACCACGTCTACATCTATGCCACATTTCAGCGATATACATTCATCCATCTATTTTTCGCATTTATAATATTACCAAGATATAATAAGACACAATTATGTTTTGTGATAATTGAAGATTGATATATGATGATTGGTATTAATACGTTCTGTGTTTCACGATTATCATGTCCTTGTCAATTGTCAAGACTTGTACGGCCATTAAAGTTGTCGTTACTATATTACATAAGGCTAAGTAAACGTGCCGATTTTTTTAAATCGTATTGTAACATCTTAAGAACAATAGTAATATATAACATAAAACAACGCAATATTATTGCATTTTCCATTTGCATATGCAATTTGACCTATAGACATGTAATGGGCACTTCATGATTCATATACAAACTGAATCTGTTACACAACGTAATGCATTTGCCAGGTCTAAACACTTTCTATTTCTACAGCCGCTGACCAATGCCTAGCAACATGTGGATCAAGGTGACCCTATCTCTTTAAGCTACAATCCAATTTATTTACTTAAGACCTATGAGCTTTTAATGTTACTTGAAAAGCGTCTTATATATAATATATTTTAGAATAATTTATTACTAGCTGTGGTCCGTGACTCCGGCCGCGCGGAATAAAATAAACTTAATCAGTCTTCCAGCCTATGGCGTTCTGAAGATACCTTTAAGAAAACATCCATCCATCCATCTAAACATTTGCATTTATTATATTAGTAAGATAAGAAGTAAGATTTTTGATCGTACCAAGTTCCTGAATTATATTACGATAGAAAACAGAATTTTATTAATTCATTTGCTTTTTAATATTTTATAGTTGGGCATAGTTTTTAATTAAGTTTTTGTCGTTCTGCTTAGTTATGTAATCTGCATATTAAACTGACAAAATATATTATGTAATTCTTAAACATATAACTTCGATTCTTTCTAATTAACAAAACATAACTCACGCCTATAACCCAGATGGGTATGCAGAGACCACGGACCTCCATTTGCCGCAGTCTTTACACACCTCTCTTGCTAATGTACGTCGGTTTTTCATCTACTTTCTTAATTTTAATACACCCTTATACAAGTATTTAATCTAGAAAATGTTACCGCACGACAACATTCCTCCGACAACTTTCCAATTCTTCCTAGTTCCTTTGAGTGCGGTTTTTACTTACATGTGGCTTATGCAACTTTACTTATTATACAGCAATCTGATTCGAACAGGAAGGAAAAAAGTTAATACATGTTCTTGTTTTTTTTATGGTTACAGGAGTTTTATAGAAAGTATTTATTTAAAGGCTAGGTCTATAACATAGAGCGTCGGTGGCTCAGGTGTCAAGCACTTGACTTGCAATCTGCAGGTCCTGGGTTCAAATCCCGCCATGTACCAATGTGTATTTCGATCTCCGATTTACGTACATTTATCCGACGTTCTTACGGTGAATGAAAACATCGTGATGCAACCTGCACATATCTGAGAAAAAATTCAAAGATATGTGTGAAGTCAACCAACCCGCACTTGGCCAGCGTGGTTGACTATGGCCTAATCACCCTTAACTTAGGGTAGGCTCCGAGTCCCTCGGTGGGGACGTATAGTGAGCTGATGATGATGATGATCTATAACATAGTCATTAAATGATCAATAAGGGTAACCCTTAGCTTAAAATTACGTATAGAAAATATTCACTAAGGGATTGCTTAACCATTAAAAGTCTTGGAGTACGACAGTATTTTGTACACATTCTTTAAATAAAATATTTTTATTATTTTCTTGACCGAATTTCGTTACTAGTGATTTGATATTAAAATTGTTTGTTTCATTATTTCTCAGAACATTTTAGGTACGAAATAATTTGGATTAAACGTTTTGTAACTTTAAAGTACTTTAAGTAATGTAGTAAATACGCTTGAATTAGGACACGCGAGTTACTTGAGAGATTGGCCGAAAGCAATATACTGGAGATGGTAGCCAATAGGGCAAGATGTTCTCACGCTAGGACTGTTCGCTCTGAAAACGTCTAAAACAACATTCACTGATTATTTATATATATTGTTGATTGATATGTAAGGATTTAGTTATTAGTGTTAAAAGCAGAATAGAAAAAAAAAATCATTAGATTTTGACATGAAAAACATTCAAATTGAATTACAAAAAGTTGAATTTTGCAAAAAAAATATCATGTCTGTGTCTTTATAGACACGCATATAATATTTATTGTTATAATTTTTTTTAATTTTTAATTTTATAATTAAAAAAACAATAATTCAGTGAAGAAAAAGAACAGTTATTGCATTCTATAATTATTTTATTAAGTTTAAATATATCTATCATATGATAAATATCGTGCGACCGCAGCGATTTGGGATCGATTTTATATATTATTTAGTTTGGTTTAGTTTTAGTTTATAGTTTATAGTATTATTTTGGTAGATTAATTTTAATTTAATTAGTGACTTAATAATTAATATAGAGTTAAGTAATTCAATAATAAGTTTATGTATATATTTTTAAGTTATCATCATAAAATGTTTCCCCTGATAAATATATGTTTACAATAATCGATCACGTATTGAAACACTTTCTTATAATAACTTTCACTAATAACTTAAATAAAAGAAAAACAAATTTGAATTAAATTATATTAGCAATAATAACTTTCTAAAACAATTTTTAGAATAAGATCATTGACACCAACATTATTAAGATTTTTTTTAAAAAAGAAAAAGTAAAAATTGATCACTACAGATTATAAAAAATCTTACTAATATTATAAATGCGAATGTTTGTTTGAAAGTATCTCGACAACGGTTGAACGGATTTCGATTAACTTTGCCACACATGTAGAATATAGTCTAGAAGAACACATAGGCTACTAATTATTTTTAATTTCGCGCGGACGGAGTCGCGGGCTACCGCTATATATTATATTTCTTTAGCTTTATCTCATAATTGTTCATTTGTGTTGAAACTTAGCTATAAGTATGTTGTATAATCTAACGGATGCCCACATTCAAGAGAAAGCTGTTATCAATTGTCATAATTTGTTATGTAAATATTCATAAAACTGTCAAACATCAACTATACAAACAATGATATATAGAGTTAACATCAGTTGTAAAAAATGTTTTCCTTATAGCATAATTGTTGGAGTATCTAGTTATTGTAGTCGTAAGTACGATTCCCGTGCTAAAAACAAAAATTTCTAAGTTTAAAATTCTATTATTGTGACGGTTCGTATTAAAAATATTGTACTTTTTCATGAATATGAGGGAAAAATTAATGTTTATATATAAATGTGTCGACAATTTGCAATCCATCCTGACACATATTGCCACTAATCTCTATAAATGGATTGGCGATTACTTGGTAATGATAGATTTCGCTTCGTTCCAATTTAAACGCGACTCTTGATGTTACGTGACAGTTAATTCTATCTATATTATTAGTTCCAATCTAAACCACCGCTACCATCAGCGCCAAAATGGCGGAAATCAAATAGGCACAAAATACAACATCTTATAGCCAGTCCCTTGATAGTGTTCAATGTATATTGCTAATTAAGGGAGATGCCAAAAGCGCTGATATACAACGGACAGCTCTTTTAATTTCGTTGTCGTACAAAAAAGCAAGCGAAACGAGTGCTCCAGTTTTGTTGAGTCAATGCGTACCGGACCAATGAACTCCACAATGACCCGTGTCGATGACAGACAGAGACACGCACCTCATTATCTAATCCGTAAGCAGATCCGCTAGCGAGACACGCACTCTCGCCTATGACTTATATAAGTCTGCATAGATTAGTTAATCGTAGAAATAATTTAAAATTACTTGCCTTAAAACCGATTTTTTAAATTACAATTAAAATTACTATTCTTTTTCTCAAGTATTTCTACCAAACAACAATGGGATATTGACCATCCAAGTTGTAATAATAATAAGCAGCAAAACAATTAAATTTACTTTGATAAAGCTTTATTTTTGTTTTATAATAAAGTTACAATTTTATAAAACCTGAAAAGTATTTCCTTTGTTTTTCGTTTAATACCTACAATCATTGTCTGCAACGTCACTTAGACTTTGTCAACCAGCTGATAGGTTGCATCATTCGTGTAACCTTTCACTGCGGATGCCGGCGTGCGTGGCGTTTGTTCTCTATCTACGAAATTGTGGGAAAAATACGTCGAAAACGAACCGTGCCGGATTCCTACGTGATGGGAGCTTCCGAAACGGGAAAGTTGAAAGAATTGATCGATTATCTTGGAATTTATGGACAGTAATGTGATGTTACGTTAAAAGTGCGGCTATGACTCTGACATCTGACATCATTGACAAAGAGTTGTATTGTTTCTTAATTATTTTTCTAGGCTTAAAATATATTAAAAAAAAAAAATATACGCTTGACCTGATGTTGAAATAAACTCAATGAATATGTATTTGTTGTAAGCATATAATAATTTACATATTTATTAGTAATTTTCTTATAATACATAGTTTACATACGATTATGTAAATTAGGTGAAATATATTTTTAGTATGCTATTTTCTCCATCATTAATTTTATTTTATTTATATTTAAGATTATTTAAGATTGCAAAATACATAAATATAACATAAAAATATTTATATATTGTATCTAGAACTTTTCACTTCGACTTAACATATCTTTATATATATAATTCTTCTGTGAGTGTGTATGTCACTGAACTTCTCTCAATCGACTGGACCGATTTTGATGAAATTTTTTGTGTGTGTTCAAGGGGATCTGGAAATGGTTTAGATTCACAATTTTGTCCGCTGGACAATGTTTTTTTTATTAATTTTTAATTTATTAGTAGTTGTTGATTTTGGAATGTTTTACATTGGATCCGACAGATGGCGCTACCATCGCAGTGTCAAATTTTAAATAATATTCGAATTTTCAAATTAAAGACGTGTAGACAGGACAACGTCTGTTCTCGTGTCACAATGATAGTTAGATTTTTATAAAATTTTATATGCATAGTAGCTCTGGGAATCGGTTACTATTTATTTTTCATACCCCTAAGAGTCCACCCCTAACATTTTGTAATGTAAATTAAAATGTTTACCCTTCTATCATGAGACGCTATTTTTCTAGTAATTTTTAGTAATTTCTAGAAATAATTTATATGCAAAAAAAAACGTTTTCCGGGTCAGCTAGTCAATATGTTATATTAAATAATATCCCTACAATACGCCGTATAAATTATCTATGGGCAAGAGATTTCTCCCTTTCACATAGTTCAAGCCATTCAGAGGTCGATGTATAAAAATAGTAATTGCTCGTTAGAGATGGCAATAAATCGGTATTTCAACATTTTGCGCTTTCCCTCCAAATACATGTTAGCAATTAACTTTATAACAAAAGTAGTATATACAATGAATCTTAAATGATATTAAATAAAAACAAAATATACGAATGATTAACTAAAATATATTATTAAAAGGAGTCCCTTTAGGCAAGGTTCCGAAGATACTGGCAGTGTTCCCCCTTTGAATAGCTATACTAATTCTTTGTCCGAGATTAGCAATTATATAATCTAGCTCCCATCTTGTAAACAATTTAAAAAGTTCCTTTTCATGAAATTTTAATTTATATCATTGTTTTTAAGTGAGTAAAGTGTATTTGCAAAATTAGTAACATTTACAATTCATGTTATGTCAGACATATTGAGGCTCGGCTATAATATTAATAAAAACGAACTTTTACTTCATTAAATAATTCAAAAATCGTCCTCTTATCAACTTCCTGTGATTCTTGAGTAGGCTTATGTCACTGCATTAAAATACTGAATGCGATTATGCTGAATGAAAATTAATAAATTATTTAATAATATCCATTTGATAAGATTCATCGAGGTAATATAATGCCATATTTTTCTGTACATCATTTTTTGTTATTTAGTGCCCGGACCTTCCGTCGTTCGAGAATTACACAAAGCAAGGTGCGTTTTATCTTTTAATTGAAATACCACATTTGTATAAGTGTAAGTTATATCGTTTTCACATTAAAGGCTGCTATATACGGACTGCTTCAACCGCGACAGTAAACTTTTGTCCGTGTGTGACGATGGCTCCGGTTGCCGACTGCTTAAAACAGTCCGTGTATATTGGCTTTATGTACTCACTCTAAACAGCGATGTATGAAGTGCAGGAAAGCTGGGTCGTCGGTGCGTACCGCGGCGGAGAGTGCTCGCGAGCCCGGCCGCCGCTTGCGACCTTTCGAGTTGGTCACCGTCCGCGGACAGCCTTTCGAGTCTGTAAAAGTACACAGCTGTAGGAATGTAATTAATTTATTGGTAATTTCTTGGCTCTCCAGAAAAGTGAATTGACGGCTTTAACGTTTTGGAAATTAGTTTAAACTTAATTAGAGTTTAAGTTGTCTAAATATCTAAAAACAGCTTATTTTCCAATATAGCAGATTAATCGTTTGCATTTTAACATTATATAAAACTTAATTGAAAAGTTAACAGCTGTTGTAACGGTCAATGACCCCTTCGCAGTATTGAAACGTTTTTATTTAATTTAAAACAGACGGATTTCCTATTTGATACAAGTTAGCAACAAATGGGCGCGGTCTAGCGCTAGGCTACGCTCTAGGCTCGGATTTCGCAACGACGTTTACGCAATTGCAGTCTGCACAGTTCTAGTCCTATTCATTAGAATTGCAACTAAACTGGAAAGTTTAAACCTTATCTGTCAATGGAATTTGCGACGTGATTCATTCCTGTTAAATATTTAAGGGCAAAAACTACAAGTAACTCGTCTTAAAACCATAAGCCACAAAATTTAACACAAATTATGTAATTTATTCAGCCACGTAAACGGGCTGAGGACCGCCGAAAACAGTCCTTTGAATTTGTTCAACAATAAAGATCTATTCCAAACTATTCATGTAGAGTTATTTAAGAACATACTTCTTAAAGAGTATAGTACAGCAGTTCCTCTACTTTTACAATGGTACAAGGATTTTGATTCCCGTTTAAAATTAGAGTCAGTACTCATTCGCCTCCTTATTCTGCACAATGACTTACCAAAGAAGAGTCTCTTCCTGGTGGCGTGCAGCAGCAGGTCTGGTGGCGGCGGGCCAAGCACCTCCATGATACAGGCCAGCTGCTCTGCCTCGTTTTCTCCCGGGAACAACGGGTAACCCGTGTGCAGCTCCGCAAGGATACATCCTACAAAAACACAGAATACTGAACATTTATCTACAGTACTAACTGTTGCCCGCGACAATGTACCCGCGGCATTAAAAAAAAATAATTAGTAGCCTATGTGTTCTTATAGGCTGTGTAATACATCTATGCCAAGTTTCAGCAAGACCCATGTAGCCGTTCTGTAGATAACTTCTAACATCTTACATTCGTATTTGTAACAACATTCCAAAATTGCATTGAACTAATAACTTGAAATTGATAATTATGTACTTATACGTACAGCAGTAAAATGCATGATAAAGCGATCATCTTTGTGTTTTATTGTTCCCTTATTAAGGCTGCAATTATTTGGATAATCATCCATAATGATTCGTTGCGAATCCGATCTCATAAATTACAGGTCGCGCCTTTTACGAAGTTTATAGCAGTGATGTAGGACCGCCTTTCTCTCTGCTTTCTACAGCGAGTTGCTACAGGTTGCGTAAGCAACAGGTTGCTTACAAACATTCCATGACCATCTCATTTACACATTGAACGGTGCTCATCATAGGTTTATGGCGATTAAGCTGATTTAAAATGTAAAAAAGAAATCAATAGATGGCGCTATACGTAATCTTGTTATAATATATTTTTTAATCATTATGTTATGTCGTGAGCTCTTGCTTAACGGCTTGATAAATTTTGAAGAATTACATACTTTCCTGCAATGTTCTAATAATCATTAATCAAGTGTACAAGTTTGGCAGCTATAGCACCCTCTAGATGATCTAGAACTTCAGGCAGAACACTACGGTTGCTTAAATCTAAATCAACTGTCCGGTAAGTACTTTTGGTAGTTATCTTCGTTACTTACCCATACTCCACATATCAATGGGTGCACCATACTGTAGTCCGAGGATAACTTCAGGGCTGCGATAGAAGCGTGACTGGATGTAGGTGTAAACGCGCGCGTGAGTGTAGCAAGAACTTCCGAAGTCTATCACCTTTATTGATGAACTGCCGCGTGCTTTCAATAGTATATTTTCCTAAAATAAACAGATAATGATTTATCATAATTTATATAATCTGGTGACACAATGGAAAAGGAAGACAAGTAATTAATATAGCTAGGTAGAGTAAAACAAAAATTGTCATGAAAACTCTAGAGTTACTGTTAATTTTACCGGTTTTAGATCGCAATGTATGATGTTCTCTGCCTCCAATAGCCTGAGACAGCGCAGCAGAGAGCTTGCAAACCGCCGGATGAGGCTCAGACTGAAGCCCTGGTAGTTGTTCTTCTTTATGAGTTCGTACAGGTTTATACTGGAATTAAATATAGAACAATATAGCTAAAGAAATATACTTCGCGAAATGCTTTAACAAAAATACGTGAATACTGACAACTTCTCCTTTCATTTTCTTTTAATCTATTCGATCAGAGAAATATCATTTTACAGAATATTTGTTAAAATACTTCTCTTTCATTTTTACACTTTACTTTTTTTTAATGTTTCTTGGTAGAACTCTACTACATACAATTTTGTACATCGTAATAAAATACTAACCTCATAAGCTCAAAGCTGATGCAAAGATGATTCCTAAAGTAGAAATAGTCTAGCATATGTATGACGTTGTGCGATTGATCCTTGTCCTTGAGGCGCAGGTGGTCGAGCACGCGGACCTCCACGAGTGCCTGGTGGTGGAAGCGCTTCTTGTTCCTGATGATCTTGATGGCAACCTGGTGGCCAGTGCGGTGGTCCAGCGCGCGGATCACCTGCCCGAAGGATCCTTTGCCTATCACTTCCAGGATCTCGTATCGGTACGCTATGTGGTCGTGCATTTGCTGGAGAACATGGAAAAAGAAATTTAATAGAGACAGATGAGAGAGAGAGAGAGAGATACTTTCAAACAAACAACCATACATCTAAACATTTGCATTTATAATATTAGTAAGCTAAGATTAATTGTGTTACAGTGCAATGCTAATATTTAGACCCATTGTTTAAGGATATTATAACATGTTTTTGATAACTTACTTTATTATAACTGCCATTTTCATCGTCGAAACCACAATTGTTGGGTAAATTGGCGCGCGCCTGCACCTTGTTCGCCTCCAGACCGACGAACCAAACCTCTGGGTACTTCCTCACTTCATTCCTCTCCCATTCCGTTAGTCTCTCGCCGTATGCTTTTAGCACCTCTGCAATATAATAAAATAATAAATCAAACGCCAATTAAGGTCGTGATCACAGCTGAAATATGCGTTGTTTTAATCCTTGTTAGTAAAGATTGCAAGAAATAACATTAAGTGTAAATTTAGATTCCTAAATCAACAATCGTTAACTAATCAATTATAAGAATGGTTTCATGCCTGGCCATTTCGATTTCTTTTTTAAGTTGTTTGAAATACTGTGGATTTCTGAGATCAAATTTAAAACATACGATTATCTCTGTGTTATAACAGAGATGTTAGTCTCAGAAACTCACAATGAGGGTTTTACAGTTGTTGTTAAGATCTTGGTTACGATAGTCTAGAGAAAATCGGTTCTTATTTGGACATCGGCGTTAAAAAAATCACATTTAAAGGATACATTTAGAGGTAAATAAAGAAAAAAATTATCTCAACGATCGCATTTATTTATTGTCATATTTAAATATTTAATATTTTTAAGTTTCCAATGATTATCTTCTTTAACAAAATCGCTTAATTTATTCCGTAAATCCTGCGTTAAAGACGAATAAAAAAAGTTCAATCCATTCCTTTCAAAAACGGGGAAGTTATATGTCTTAAAACTGAAAGATTTTTTATTATTTTCTATACAATGTACAAAATCAGCGTGTAATACAAAATTGATACGTAAGTAAACATGATCGTGCTGAAAACACATTCTAATCGTTTTAAATATATCAGTTTTGATTGAATTTAAAAATAGATTTAACGCTTTTATTAATTTCACTTTGCTTTCGATCTTGTACATAATAATTCTATTATCAAATGTTGATTCAAGTACTATGTCGTTTTCTTCAATTTGTAGATTATCTTGATTATCTGTCGATTGAATTGAATCTTCATTTTGTCTTATTATTTTAGTTCTAACGTCATTTTCCTCTGAATTCGCACGTTTTTTACCTCGTATACATTGGTTCCTGTAATTTAATATGATGAATATTTTGAATTGCTTAATTTTAAATTTAACTACAATATTTCGTGTAATAAATTGTAATATATTGTCCGTGTATTTTTAATAATAATTTTGTAGTACATATTTGATTTCTCTCCCAAGTAAGGGCGTAAGGTCGTAAAAATTTATTAAAAAATTAGGGTTTAAAAAGCCTTGTGAGTTGAACCTATATGTGTGTGATAAGGTCCGGAAGACGATGAACTCATCGTCGTCATCGTGTAATAAACTTATTATTTTTTTTGCGATTTTACCATGCATATATACTGTCGATATACATGTATAAAAACATATATTTTACATACATTTTATTAAAGGTTAGAATGTGTTTTTGTATAAATGTTATGACACTGTTAGATTTTTTATCTACTCACTCGGGTTGTGAATCAATAAATAAACATATGTTATACAAATCCTCATCAAAAGCTGGATCAAACAGAATATCTTTTTCAATTATCTCGCAAATATCATAAAGTTCACAATCACTGGCACTTAATTGTTTATCCATTGCTTTTTAAGAAAAAAAAAATACTTTGATGTTGCTCTTTAGTTGAATAAAGCTATCAGTACTGCCTTGTCTGTATCACTTATCGATATTAAGTTCCGTATTCAAATGATCTGCTATATATCATGATAGAAAAGTATACCACGTAATTAAGACAGTAATTAGATGAATTAGATAAAAATTATTATTCATAATATAAATATAAATGTAGATAATGATTATTTAATTATAGTAATTAGTGTATTTGGTAATGATTTTTAAGAAAGTAACAAATAAAAATAATTATAGTAATAATATAAAATCAGTAAATATGTCATTAGTTAAATTAATAAAATAATATTTTGCTGCTTATTTATGATGAGGGGTGATTTTAAAGTAAACTATTGTGACATGAAATATTTTTGGGATGTCAAAAAGTTGTGATTGTCAACATATTTGACATTGTAGATTATAGAAAAGGCGTGTTAGAATGTTGTTTAATTATAGTTAATAATTATAGATGTTAAGGCCAATTAATTTTACCGCAGCGTATACACGACCTTCTGTGTAGCGTTATGCGGTATCTTAGTGCAGCAGAAATAGGTCTAGCGCGATGAACCCTTCGAGAAGACAAGGTCAAGGGTAATTCATCAGCTATTTTATAATGTGTCCAAATACAGGAAGTATATCTCTGTTGAACAGAAATTTATGAAATAAAATGGGTATATAATGATGAATTTTGTATATAAATATTGTATTAGAATAACTACAACAGATTTTGAAAAAATATAATCAAGCGCCTGCAATGATTTATTAGCAAATTTAACAACTGGTAGAAATCAAGGCGCAAACGAATGGATAAGATAAGTCGATAAAATCACAATTTCCTTGCATAGCAGAAACTCGAAATAGGAGCCCACATAGATGCTAAATATAATGTTAGAAATTGAATAACGTATCTATTCTTGGATTGTGCATGGAAGTGAACGCATATCGTTCATTCTTACACATCCATACTTTTTCATAATATTTATATTCGTACGATATTATAGCTATTTCTTTAATGCAAAATTATATTTATATCTTTGTATATTTGCAAAGTTACAAAGTGAAGAATGCACTACCAAGACAAACGCGTCTCTGCGTTTACAGCTTTAAAATTGTTTCATATCATTTTCTCACCTTCTTTCAAACATGCGACTGTTTACTTGACCTATTTACGGAGTATGAAAATTCCTTGAGAGAAAAATTGCGTTGCAAAAAAAAATAGTTTTATTTTTGTATGTTTAATTTCTTAGAATATACTGATGTAAATAAAATCCATAATAAAGTTTTGGTAAATGACGATTAATTGTAGAAATATTCAATAAAAAGATTATTTTTAATATTGTTTGAGTTAGTAATTGTCAAATTGAACAATTATATCAAACAATAGGGAATTTATTGCATGAACTGTATTTTCTGTTCTGTATTCGTAAAAACGTGAATTTGAAATTCACGACGGCACTGAAGCAATCGGAAATATTGAATGAATTTCTTAGTACATTTACTTGACGCGTGACTTGTCGAAATCTTACCTTGCGTAAAATTCAACATTCCCTAATTTCTTAAGTTTTTAGGGTTCCGTACCTCATAGGAAAAAAACGGAACCCTTATAGGATCAATTTGTTATAAGTCCGTCCGTCTGTCAAGACCTTTTTTCTCAAAAACGCGTGAAGGTATCAAGGTGGAATTTATTTTATACAAAAAATATCGTGTCAATCTTTTATTACTTTTGTACTGTTTTTACAACAGCGCCATCTATTGACAAATTTAATTTAAAAGTTGAATATCGTTTACGAAAACCCACGTCCCTAAATACAGTGAAAGAACCGCAATAGCAGTTCAAGTAAGCCACTTAAATAAAGGTTGGTTTGTGAGCTGAATATGAAAAGAGTAAAATACGAACATAACCTAACGAACCCTTCTTTACATTCGCCCCCACAGTTTATGCTAAATGTCAAACACTTGATATATAAATTGTAAATAAAAGGTTCTTAACAGGCAGACGGACGGACAACAAAGTGATCCTGCAGGCGTTCAGTTTTTTTTTCTTGCGAGGTACGAAACCCTAATAACCTTAAGGACATGTTACCTTATTAGACGTACTTTATCGGTAATTTTTGATTTGTTTTTTCGATATTTTTCGTATTTTATTTACTTCGGTGTGTATTGAATTATTATTATGGAAAGTATTTAAGTAAAATATATGCTAACTTGATAGTTGTTGCAAATTTTATAATTAGTACAATCAAATCTCCTTATTCGCGGTACCGTTACTCGCAATTTTACAATTGGCGGGCAAAAAAAATGTACCCAAATATCATATTGACGTCAAGATATAGTAGCGATTTTGTTATCCATTGCATTTTTCCTTTACCCACGAATGTGGAAATTTGATAGTGCTTTAGATATGAGTGGTGACGAAGAGCCCTGAATTCAATGTTTTGGGCAAAATTACAACTTAATTTCTTGTATTTAATTCGCAGATATTTGCTTAAAATAGTTAAGATTATATTCTAGCAACATCAAATCAATCTATATTACGACATTATTCAATATTCGGCACGTTTCTGTCGAAACTTTTCAAGCGTTATCGAAGAAAAACGACGCAGCCGACGACACCTCGAAATTGCTTTTCATTAATTTATACGTAATTTGATGACGTACGGATGCTTCTTTTTTTGACATAAAATCTCATTTGATTAAAACTTCTCTGGTTACAGCTTTTTTCGTTACGTCATTGGTATTAAATTAATGTCTTAGACGAAAGAGTAAATACGGATTTCTAATAAAAATGTTGTTTGCAAGAGATGGCTTTGCTATTAATTAATAGATTAAACTTTATAAAGATTTTTGTGTATAATTATGTGTATTTCAAAACATATTTAACTAATTATTTAAGGGAAGCCTGATAAACAACTACGCACAACCATAAAGTAGGTCATGAGGTAAATCATGAGGTCACGGGAAACCCTGCTGTCGTTCGAACAATTCCTTTGCCGGAATTGACAGGAATATTAAAAGTTAATAGATTAAATATTATGAAATCACCAGGAGATTTTAGACTTGAAATTAATTTAACCAATAATTACCTATTAACAATATTCTATAACAAAGAAAGTGAACTTTGCGAGCTAAATATCTTGCCTAAAACTCATAATCAGAGTTTATTTATTTATTTTATTTATTTATTTATTTATTTATTTAAAAACTGCATAGCATCATTACAGTATACAACCAATTTGACACTATACACACTTTACATAACAGTTTACACGATAACATATTTTATAATAACAGTAAATAACATATAACAATGATAAATAAAAAGAAAAAAAAGAAAAAAAAATACATATAATACAGTGCAAGAATATATAAACGCGTAACTAAACATCAATATTCAAACGTCTTCCACACATCTGTACGCAGCCTCTGTGAATTTCGACTCGCTGCAACTAAATAAATCTATATCTCTAGATATGATATTGAGAAGCCGTATAGCCCGCACTATAGAAGCATTTTCCAATAACTTCGTCCTAGCGGTGGGCTCGAGAAACAATGGCGGGCGGCGGCGCACCTGAACCACGCAGTCAGGGACACGCAGCCGCAGCGCTGCAAGCACGGCTGGCTGGCACACCGCGCCGCGCAGGACGCGCCATACGCCGCGCACGAGGGCCACGTCCCTACGCACTCGCAACGTGCTGTATCCGACCATGCCATTCACAAATAAACTCGGGTACATTAACGGGAAGCAAGGATAAACTCCGTACTGTTTGTAATACAGGAAACGCGTAAACTTATTTTGAATTCTTTCTACCATCAGACTATATTTTTTTTCATGGGGACTCCAAATGGAACTACTCGTTTCTAGACGACTCCTAACTAATGCGTTATATAAAACTTTTATTACCAGCGCATTTTCAAAATTCTTACATTGCCTAATAATAAAACCGAGATTTCTAAACGATTTCCTACAGATATTCGCAATGTGGTTTCGGAAGTTCAAATCCTCGACCATCTCGACTCCCAAATCAACGTAATAAAAAAACAAGAAGTCAAATAACATAGTACATAATACATTTGTACATAATATTGTAATTCCATCCAATATTAGTAGCATTGAGTTAATATGGAGTGAGAAGCCCCGGGCGTGCATCACACTGGCCCGGGTCAAGGGCGGTTCGGTAGCCCGTACCGACATCTCTGTTATTTGCATTGTACTTATTAATTTATGATAATCTGGTACGTGTTAATTGGTACAGAACTCAAAATCATACTAATAGTTACTTTATAGCAGATATTTCATGTTAAATCAACACTAAGGATTTCTTTAAGCGAAAAACTTAACTTTTGCCTAAGAAGTTGCGTATCCCGAACTAAATAACTAGTAAAACATTTTTTTGTGGTTTCTGAAATAAAAAAATGTTTAATTTTGTTGTTAATATTCATAATTTTCCATTATCTACTCTTTATTTTGTATTATTATAAATTAATTATAAAATTTGCCTCTAAAAGCTTTTGGTGGTCAGTGACTGACCCTCGAGTTAAAGGTCAAAAGGCGAACCTTTGTCCAGTTGACTGCATTAGACAACCTTCAGCGTATCAACTCGCATGAATATTGTTGATTTATTCGATTTAGCTTAAAACGAAACAAATTGTGTAGCATTGGACACGGGAAAAGGGCACGAGACATTTGCACTGACAAAATTAACTTAGTGAAATATAAGTAATTGCAAGTTAGTTAAGTAATTTATTTTAGTAAATCAAACCACTTAATACACCCTTAAACATCTGCTAAATATCATATTATCCAACAAGCTCAGGTGGGAGTAATTTTATCATTTTCCCACGAAATCCCAACTCGAATAACAATCGAGTTTCGCCAGGGATTCCGAAATTGGAAATTGTCGTCTATATAATGGCAATTTCCATAGAAACGAGATTATCATTGAAACGACTCCCGGAGCAAGAGATCGACAATTCCCCTTCACAAATAAACACAATCTGATTACGATAAAACATTGTAGTCCCAATCTTCTTATATCTTTAAATGTTTTGCTTCTTTAATTTTCTTATCTTTAAACGTTTTTGTACTGGCGTTTCTTTCAGTCATATAGCAATCAACGACAACCGAATGTAAGTTGATGCGTTGGCAACTTTTACAATGGAAAGTACATAGACGTAAAGAATAGGCAGTTATCTTTCTAGTTACGTCAGGAGTAGATCTGCGTAGACAACGTGACAACGATTAACGTGATTTTACCAAAGTTTATATCAATTCCTTATAAAATTGTCTACGTCCTCAAGAGTTGTAGTATTTTATGGCTGACCTGAAGGTGTAAGCGGCACTCGCGGCGGTTGCTGCGCGGCATTGTGGTTGTCGTCACGCGGACTCGCCGCGGCGCCCTCCGCGTTGTTGTTCGGCGGCCCAGGGCCCTCGCCCGCGCCCTCTATCTGCAACTGACAACATATATTGTTAGCTAATATATTTCAAGAAGCTAAGCTAAGCTAAGAAAATTTCTTACATCTTTATTGATTTAATAAGACCTAACTGGTATAACGGGTCACTGATACTTGATGACCACGACAAGTCTGAAAAGACTGTAACGACGAAGGAGAACTGTTAATAAAACAGAGGAAATTTATATGTCTTTGTAGATAAAATAATTTATAAAGTAAAAATAATCAAAATAACATCGTTGGGATGATGCTGGTGATTTTTATCTCTTCTTTTTACTTAAGTAAAAAGGGAAAATGTAAACAACATTGTACGAAAAGAAAATTTATCATATTCAATCATAAAAGAAATAAATATCTTCCTCAAACGTAAACATAATTAAAAATCAAATAAGGAAACAGAAAGAAGAAAGAAACAAGATTATTTTTTATCTGCCATTTATGTTTATAAGACACAAAGACAAGGAAATAATTTATCATGTTCAAAAAAAAATGTTTAGACTTAAACTAGCTGTCGCCCGCGACTCCGTCCGTGCGTGACAAAAAAAAATGCTCACAAAATTTCATGAGTATCGGTCAAGCCGTTTCGGAGAGAGTATGGGAACGAAAATTGTGACACGAGAATTTTATATCTTTAGACTTGAATGATAGAAATTAAATAGTTGAATTTTATCCATTATTGATTACAAAAATATACTGCGTAATTAGGAACTTTTGTAACGCGACTCATAAAGGCTGAAAGTAAAGTTTGTGACTATTAGTGTTTAGCGCTAAACTTTTTATAAAATTACTGGTATAATGGTGCCAGGCTGGTTAAAATATAAACTATGTAACATGGAGAAGCATGACATCAAAGTCACTTTTCTAATATTATATTTACTAAAGTCGCTCAAGCAATACTAAAGTGTGAGCTACAGTTGTGTAGTTTGAGAAAATCGCAAATCTTTAGCAACAAACAATATTGGAAAGCACTTGTTGATTTCGCAAACATATCCAGCTGAAGGACGTCGTATGTCAATAAAGGAGGCCAATATCCGAGCTCTACAAACACGCGAGAAACAAACTGCGGTACAGTTTGGAGAGGCTTACGCCTGATTGAGGAAGGAATAATGGGAAAAAAATTAATATACTCGTACTAGACACTTCGGCTTTTGGAAAAAAGTAAGTGGATACTGTTTAGTTAAGAGTTAATTTGCTTGAAATAGCCTTAACATAGCTATAAATATACTTAAAGAAACGTCAATTCAAAATACCGACGTGTAAATCTGGAATGACTTGCAAAGTCGCAATTATAGTTTGACGTTTGCACGCGAGCCAAAGTTAGCTGGCGAAAGAAAGCATGCTTTAATTGCCGCGTCAATTTCCATACTTTTTCAACTTGTTTTCGCTACTATGTGTATGTATTGACATATTGCCGACCCTTACATTCTCTATGAAAAAAACAGAGACCTATATGTACTAATACAAGTCACGGTACTCGGCACAAACCGCGAAACGTTAACACAAATTTTATTTATATTTAATGAATTTCAATTACTCTTCATCTCTAGCTTGTTAAACTTGTTTTCTTTACCTTTTACTAGAACGCATGTGATGATCAAATTAACTAGAATATTAGCGTAAATTAAAAAATATATATTACTATGGGTTTTCACTTCTACAAAACATGTTATGGAAAATACACAAACTAGACTTAATTTAAAAAGTCCACGATGTATATACGTTAATGTATCTCTTTATGTATTTTACTCAAGTATAATTTTGAATAAAAAAATTAGGTAAACAGGACGAGCAGTGACAAAGATTAATCGTTTGCCAGCAAAAGTTTCAGACAACGGTATAACTTTCGCAATGTTGAACACGAATAATCTTTAGACTTAAAAGTTGTGGCGAAACTACCGTAATAGCTGAAACCCGCAAAATCAACGGTTCGATGAAATGTAAAAAAGTATATAACGCTGTTATTTTGTTCATGTTTTCGTGTTAAATAAAAAACATATTAACATAATGTATTAAAATAAATAAATATTTGAGTCAATAATAACGATATACTAATTTTTAAAATATTTCTTTATCTGTCCATCCATCCGCAAGTTCGCATTTATACCTAGTAGTCTCCGAAACGGCTGCACCGATTTTAACGGGACTTTACTGAAAGATAGCTTATGTATACGAGAATAACTAAGGCTAATTTGTTATTTTTAAATTCCGCACTGACGTAGTCGAAATCAAAAATCTTTTTCACTATTTTTCATTGGCCACAATGATTAGGATCATAAAGAAAAAAAATGTTGGTAATTAAATAAAATATTGACTATGGTTGTATAATATTAAATTATTTTCAATCAGTGAGATATTCTACTACATATATATTTTTTTTAAATCATAAGGTGGCAAACGAGCGAGCGACCACCTAAAATCGCTGAAATAGCGAAATGACCGTTGCCCATAGACATACGCAATAGCATATGCGTTGCCTACCTTTAATCGTCTGAAGAGAGGATGAACAGAACGAAAATATTTTCCCTTTCTATGCATCCTCTCATCCGGAAAGTCCACATCCACTTCCCCTCCTTTCCTTATAAGAAAAAGGGTGGGAAGGGAAAGAGGACTAAATTAGGCCTCCGGGACGCAATATATAAATTCTTTGTAGACTTAAAGCCTAAGTATTGGATTTAGCTTTGTTATGTATCTTGCAGTCTTTGAGTACATTTGTAAGAAGGTTAAATAATTGTACATAACTAAAGAGATTATGTTATTCTACACATTATGTATTATATTATAACATAATGTTTATTATACAAACGCTAATTATGTACAGTTAAAGAATTAAATTGGCTACCCACTTAGAGTCGAATATCCTGCAGAAATATCACCATAGGAGTAATCCTGGAGCAAGTATGTTCCTGTTACAAGTTTTCGACCTAATTGCATTATGAACGTCAAATGACGTCGCATGGATAGTCAATTAATTTCCTCGATTGCACGTAAGACGAATATTACCCAATTAAATATAACAACTATACAAGTATTCTTGCTATTGTTTTTTTCGTATATACTGTTGACAAACTAATGGCGACTACGATCCATCGAAATATGCATTGATTGCTTGTTTTCATTGGAATATTGCCAGACAACTATAACTTTAATTTTATTACAATATAAGGACGACATATATCTGCAAAAATACATATTGCTTATTATAATTGCAACTTCAAGCATCACATTTTATCTCTCGCAACCACGTCTGCTGTTTTCAAAACTCTACATTGATGTTTATACTAACAATTAAGTACTTGCTCAAGTAATCGTAGGCTGGCGTAATGCTCAAGTAGGTAGGGATAGGAATATAATCAAATTGCCAATTGGTTTATTATTAATTATAAGTTAGTTTAACTTAATCTGTAGTAAGTTGTAAAGGATATGTTTATCCTTTAAGTTATTTAATTAATCTTATCTTCAATATACTTTAGGTTGTTAAGATGTAATGAAACAGTGGAGAGCCTGCGATCACATCTTTTGCACGAATTGGCGGGCTCGACTAAACCTCGGTAAAATACCACGACCTCACAGAAGACAGACGTGAAGTGGAAGTGAGGCGTGTTTCCTCCGATGAATTTTCGTATCGGAGGATTTTAGTCCCTTCTCACTCTTTTAAAGAAATTCTTTCTTACATAGAAGAACTTGGACAAGCAGGTGGATTTGGCATAGGAGAGCAAGTATAGGAAGGGGATATATCCCCTTTCTGTGCGTCTCCTCCTCTGTCGATTTACGAATTCAAGTCGCCGGTTTTTCGTTTGTTAAAAAAAAATAGTTGAAATTATTCCGAAAACCAATCTTAGATCTAGGAAATTTATAGGTTTATCTTACAACACCAGAATATTTATCTTAATATCTTCATCATTGCAATCAATCACTATCATTTATTATAGCACAATATAAATCAGATTCGTACAAAAAGAAAGTGGAACACAACCTCAATTCGTCCCGGCATAAATAACTTGCTCCCAAATCCGTGACGTCACTCAAAACAACGTAAATGGAAGAGAAAGGTCACGTCACTCAATGAAATAGATAGGCCCTTCAGTGTTTGTAACTAATGATTGCACATTTCTACCGAAACAATAAGGTTTTATTCCACAATCATTGTTTTTATATTGTTGGAATAAAGAGGTTAGGTTATTATAAAACAATTTTACAAACATATTTCAAAATTACATTTTTTCAAGTCTGGGCAAATGAAGACTTGTCTTTTGATTTTGATCAATGTTTTGTCGTTGATTTATGTAGAGCTCTTTGGACCTATGTCATAACAGACTTAGTATAGGCGACATATGTCCCCACCTCTAAGTCACGGGTGACTAAGCCATAGTCAACCAAACTGGCCCAGTGCGGATTGGTTGACTTCACACTTATCTTTGAATATCTTCTCAGATATGTGCAGGTTGCATCACGATGTTTTCCTTCACCATAAGAATGTCGGATAAATGTACATATGTAAATCGTAAATGGAAAAACACATTGGTACATGGCGGGATTCGAACCCAGGACCTGCAGATCGCAAGTCAAGTGCTTGACCCCTGAGCCACCGACGCTCATCAATGCTGTTTATTTGAATAAATTATTTGTTGAATAGTTACAATAGGCTACTGATTTTGAACAAACTGTGTATTGTGAAAATTCTGGTACAAAAGAATCGGAACAAGGGTTCACATATATTGTTAGCTCAAACACATTTACTAAACGTAGCTGTAATTCTCTATTGAAATTCAACGAGTTGTGTTTAGTACGTGACTCCATTTACCTTCATTCTATACTACGAGCAAATGTACTTAGAAGTTTGAGAAAATTCTCTAAAAATGTTAGTAGACTAGAGACTGGAAACATATATCGATCCTCGTACGTAAACTGTCGTATCTTTGAAACGCTTTTACAAGACAAATTTTTAAAACTTTTAATTCCCACATTAAACATGAACATACTATAGATCAGTCTTTCCCAAA